GGGACGTATGTGCTGAACTGACCACTGCCCCCGGACCTGCCAAGCTGGTATTTATTACAGCACTGGCAACCAGGGGAGAGCACAACTCTGTTAAGATCAAATTCAAAAGTCAACAGTGAAAATGCATCAAGGCTGATCGCTTTTCACAGTAACCCCTGCTCCTTCCCACCGACAGCAGGAGGAGAAAGAAAAGAGAAATCGGAGGCAACAAAACACACCAAAAATTCATGAACAAAAAGCACATTGGTGTAGAAAGTACTCACATGACTGCAGGCTACTCACGTGCTGTTACCCTCAGACATCTGAAAAATGGTCCAGCCACCAAAGGAGAGATGCCCGGCACTGTCACCGCAGCTCAAAGTGATGGTAGGCAAGCGTTGTTAATCTGATTATCAAAAAGGAGTGAGAGCGTGCAGAGCTGTGTGCAGCTGCAGGACCCGGCAGAGTTAAAAAGTGATGCTTAAGGGAAGAGATTGGAATGCACAATTATTTTATCTTGCAAAATCTAAGGACTTGGAAACCTAAAGGCAGAGGCCAAGCTGCAGCGAGGATTAAATAAGGTGAAGATTGCTTTTGTTTTATAAACAATAAGGTTTTCATACTAAGAAAATTTACTGCAAATCGAGTAAATCAGTGGAAAAAATTGAAACCACAGGATCCATTCTTTAAAAACACACAAAATATTTTTACAGCTAACAAACATAACATCAGACATTTACAAGATCTCTTAGTGCCTATTTACACTTACTTTTTTGTTTTCTTTCCTAGAATTAAAGCTGTCATAATCTTCAAAGACTTTAGGGCTGTTTCAACAGCTGAATTACAAAACAGCTCGGTCACAAATTACAAAATAAACTTGATGGTTTAAATAAAGAGGAAAAAATATTCCACATGATTCACTTCAATACAGATTTATACAGGGAAGATCATTCTCCTGACACATTTTCTAAGGTTGTGAAATGGCAAACTTCTCATATTTTAATGTATGCTTTGATATTTTGGCTCCTAAAAAGAAGCCGCTAACCGGTCACTCACACCTCGCCTTTTAGACCACAACTGTGCCGAAAAGGAAACTGGGCTGAAGCCATTTGCCCCCCAAAGCTCCTCCTCTACGAATGGAAGAGACCTACATGGGGATCCTGAGTGACACCTCTCCTGGGGATGAACAGAGAAATGAAAGGGCAGCTGCTTCCCCGTTCTCTCCACGGAGGCAAGGTTGGGAAGCTGCGTTGCTCCCGACTGCTCTCTGGTTATTTCAGCTTCTCCACTGCTGATCCTCAGCAGAGCCCAAGCTGGAGGAAAGCAAGTGTTCAAATCAGACCTCGGAGCAACACAGGTTTTGCTCGAGTTAGGAGGGCAGGTGGTCACCTTTTTCTTAAATCTCCATAGTTGAGCACAGCCCTAACGGTGCAAACCTGGTGGGTTTCAATGCTTTGGAAAGCTTAAGAGATGAAGTCAGACTCTAAAACCAACTTAGAATACGATCTTTTTGAAAAGAAATGTATTTTCTTCATAAATACAGTACAATTACATCTTACAACGTCTTTTTACTTTCTAGACATAAAAACGCTAGCTTTTAAAAAAAGAGTTCCTATACAAATACATGAAAAGAGACCCTCCCTCCCCATAGCCCCCCCAAAACCATCGGCCGCGGCGTGCAGAAGCACAGTGAATCCCGGGCGAACGTGTGCCAGCCCTCGCAGGGAGGGAGAGAAAGCCAAATTACCCCCGGGGTTTTGCTTGCCCTGACTGCACTGATTTTACATCGCCAGCCCTTTATAAGCAATGGAAAAAGCACACCGTCAGCTGTCGGGATTCACTGCACGGGTGTCACGGCTCACGGGATGCGGTTGTTACAGGTCTCACGCGCTGCTGGTTGTCAGCGTGAGCTCCTGGAGCTGGAGGTGTCCTTGGAAATGCTTCTGGCCTAAAACTCTGCAAGTCCTCTTGTTCACGCAGCCTCAGAAATGAAGCAAAGCAAAGGCCAGTTTTCAGCCTCTCATCTACAAACGTTCTAAGAGAGGCAGAGACCACACATAGAGAATTGCAGCCCCTGACGGCACTCGCTGACCTCAGCCACCCTTTGCAGACTCCTGCGGAGCAACTCACAGATCCCCGCGAGCCCTCAGACCACAGACAGAAAATTGCAGCTCTCCACCCCACAGGAGTTGCCAGGTAGGAGCTGTTTGGAGTTAAAAATGACATGGGGCCAGATGGGAACAAGAGCCTTTAGATCTCAAGCCGTTCCCTGAGCCGCCAAATCCCAAAGGAACTGCCCAAGGGAAGGACTTGTGAGTTTGGCCATTCTGTAAGCAGTGAAAGGAAAGAGGAAAAATAACTAAACTTGATTTTCTTGTTTTTGCTCTACAAAGAAGAATATGTGGCTTTCTTTATAAAAGCTACAATTCTGCTTCTAATAGCCGAGTTTAAGAAAAACTCTTAGTCTAAAATTTTGGTTTGCAAAGGTCATTGCAATCATTGTGTTAAAAATCACTTTCTACTAGAAGTAAGCTCAACTGAAGGAAAGGGAACTAGGTGTGCAGTTTGATTCCTTAAAGCAGTTTCTGTTTAAAAACAAAATAAAAATCTGTACAGAGAGATTGAAGACTATAGTACACTCCTTCCTCAAAGCAAGCAGCTCTTTTACATTCACATCAGGATGGCTCTGAGGAAGCTCGAGGGAAAGAATACATTCCTGATGGCTCCTAGTTTGTCAGCACAGGAAGATGACCTCAAACTTCCATGTCAAAAGTTTCAGGGGTTTTACTTTCAGAAGAAATCAAAACTACAAAATAAGGCAAAGAACCTGACCTAAACAATGGAAATCTGCACCATCTTCTTCCAAATTTCCCTCCACAGTCATACAACTCCTAAGGCTCCTGCAATCCTGATGGCTTGGACTGTCAGGGTTCACCTGGCTTCCATTTCTGGAGGAGATAGTTGCTGTCCATAACCTGTATTTTATCCACAGAAAGCTATTATGTCCTTTTTTTTCCTTGTAAAAATAGATTACAGAGGCATTCAGTTTGAAAACAATGAGCTGCAAGGAGGATAAACGGATTATTTTTACCTAGTCCAGCTGAACAGCCAATATTGACTGGGGAAAATCAATTTTCTGAAACAGATTTTATCTGCAAAGGATCCTAATTTTCCTAGACGTTTTAGAATTAATGTGAATGAACTGAGTTGGAACTGTTTATCTGGAGCCCTACAGTTGCAAAACTTCTTTCCTACTGCTGAGAAGCACTTGTAAAGATGGAATATAATTTTTCCTGACTTTAAAAGAAAAGGACTCAAACATGTCTTCCCCCCCTCTCACATAGTGAGTCAGTGGTATCTAATCTCCCTTATTGTTCATTCTAAGCCCAGACCACAAAATATAATACAGAAAATTATGCTGAAATGGCACAAAGATGGACACCCTGAGCTGATGAGAAAAGCGTCTCCTGCATTTCCAACAACTGTGGAGAGGGAAGAGAAATCACTTCAGATCATCCAGAGTGGGCAATACTTCATATAATGGGATGGAATTAAGACAAAAGAAATAAATGTAAGACATCCTTAGGGATGAGAATGAAGAGGCTGTGAACAGTTTGTCTAGAACAGGATGGAGAACTAATTCAGATTATCAGAATACACGTGGGAAATCCACACTGTCCAGATGGATGTTGTCCCATATGGCAGAGACAGCCAAAGCCTCAAAGTGCCCCTCTGAGTGTGGTGACGGAAGGGAGCTTGTGCTGCCCCTTGGAGCAGTCACTGGTAAAGCCGGGCTAGGTTGACTTAATTTGCATCTTACCATATGCACTTTGCCATCTCTAACTCCCATTACAGCCTGAAGAACACTAAGAAGCAGCAAATCTGCTAGAAATGATGGGAAGTGTTTTCCTTGTTCTTTAAATGATTATCACTAGAAGACACACAGAATCCAGCTCAGGGCTGACCGTTAGGCACTGCTAAGACACGTGTGTAGCAGACAGAAGGCACTTTCTTCCACCTCCCAACCCTACATTGTCAAATTCATGTTACACCTGGTAAGGCCCTTTCAACTGGACACCACATCAGTAGTGTCAGCTAAGTAGGAACCGCAGACCTTCACTAACTGTTCGATAATTAATTGCTGATTTTCCTTATTTCTGGGGTGAAATGATCTGAAATGAAAATCTGGCTACTCTAATGCTGCACAGAAAGCTGAGACTAGCCAGGTTCCCAAAGTCTGACCACTGGCTAATTAAATATTTTAACATTCAAGTAAAAAGAAAGTATTTTTTAACAGAAATTAGTATCAAAGTGTTTTAATAAAATGCAAAGACAGTAACAGAAAATACTCATTTACCTCTATTGGTCTTGATATCTCCTTATAGCATCTGCAACCACAGCATTGCTGCATCTGTGCTAGTTCCCAAAAATCTGAAAGTGAACCTGATGACTTAAATGTGTAACTTTCTTCTCTAATGCCTCTGGGACTTCCTTTCAGCTGCTCTCTCCAGTTAGATGAAGAAAAAAAATATTTTGTCAGGAGAGAATTTGCCATCTGAAACTTTACACAGAGCTTCTCTTTAAAGCTCCACCTCTGCAGCTTTGCTGTATGAAAAAGAATCTAGTATGTCCAAGAAGGAGGGACACACAAAGAAAAAGGGCATTTGAAATACAGAAAAATCTGCTACGGAGAAAGATCTCCACAGATGCAGTAGATTAAGTTGCTAACACTGAAAAGCAACAGGGCTTGCCATTTGCACTATGGTAAATTGGAGTAGTTCCACTAAAGCCAATGGAATTACAACGGCAGAAATCTGATCTAACAGATCAGGGCTGAGCCTGTAAACTCTCCTTTTTTAATTTACGTAAAACATGAATGCAATATATTATTTACTATCCACTGTACAAATTATTGAAAAAGTACTTAAGTATAAAAGTGTGTCAAATCTTTCAACGAAACTAAAAATGTGAAATGCGACATTAATCACCGGAGTCATTTTTTTTAATAAGAAATAACACAATTTGGGAAGTTAAAAAAAAAAAGTTATTACTGAAAATTCCAGCCTATGAATGTGAAATACCTATTCTGAGCTCTTACACTGAGTGTAGAGAGAAGGTGTAAAGAGAGGTCTCCCTTGATCACAGCTCAAATTTACAGAAGTTTCTCAGAACACCTGTATGCTAAAACCATTAAGTGATGCTCACAACTAAGTCCCTGGTTCTGACTGTTATAAGGCCATGGCACTCATCCTACAGCGTTCAAGTGAGACATTTAACCAACACCTGTGAGAGCAGGTACTCCTGTTTAAGAGACTTTAAAAATACTGAAACAAAATATCAGATGTAGTGCACCTAAGTTCTCGGTTTTTTTCTCCAGATGTTACCAGAACCAGTATTTAAAATATAAAGGGGGAAACTTTCAAAGAACAAGTGTTACGGGTTTTTTATAATTTAGAACAAATTATAAATTAACCTGTCCATACTTTTGAGACATAATATACAAGAGCAAACAGCTAAGTGTTCTTTTATTACTCAGGTACTACAATTTTTTCCCCAATAAAAATGTCTTTTAAAAATTTCTTGCTACTGTATCCCAGCTCAGATCCTGGTACAGCCTTTCAGATGAGGTATTCTACCATCTCTCCATCTGGGAGGTCCTGCCCCATGCTCTGAACAGGGGCTTTTCTTTCAAGAGTGCTGGAGTGGAAGAGTGGCCCATCTACATGATGAGGAAAAACAAGAGAGACAATCAAAGATGTAACGTCGATGAGCTTAGAAAAACAATGTTAACATTTCAAAAGTCATCTTCTATCATTGGCCAAACAACTCCTTATTTAATTTTTAAAAATTCAATTCTTCATGCATGTAGCCAGATAAAGAAAGATATTTTATCAAATTCCCTTTGGGTTTCTCCCACTGATACACAATGGTATTCAAACCTGGAGCGACTGCATTTAAACCAACGCAGTCAGTGTAGACTTTCAGCACTAAACCTGTTCCCCTGTCTCCCTCGATACCCATTAAATAGCATAGCATGGGCAAGACGCACAGCAGACCAGTCAAATCCACTCTTCCATAAAGAACAACATAATTGTAATGTGTCTGTGAGTAGAAGAGGCAAGGTTGTGTAATCTGCATTGATTTGGCAGAGTGGGCTGGAAAATGAGCAGCTCTTGCCAGCTCAGAGCTCTGTGGGAAGCAAATTCAGCTTCTGCGACAGCCACTGTCAACTGGATCTACTTACGCCAGTGCTGCAGTCGGTCCCGCGACTGGGACAGTACGATAGCAAGACAGCTTTATCACGATAGTTACCTTTCCTTCTTCTCCCTCCCCCTTATCTGAGCCCACTTTGCTTTGAATACCCACTAAAATGCAATGGCCAGTTTCTACAGCCTATTTTCATATGCTGTTTCAACTTGCAATTTACTTTGGAGTAGATGCTGACTCGGAGACTATCCTGGGATTTGCATTTGCTCCAATTCTTAAATCTCGCTACACCTCTCTACTCAATGTGTCCATGCTTATGCTACCACTCTTGAGGCTTTTTTTCCTTCAAGGCTTTTGAGACCCCTCTGAACATTGTCAAGCTTGCCTCTGGAGCCCATCTGTTCTCACAAAAAACTAAACCCAGTTTTTTCTAACAGGAAAAGGGACGTCAGGGCCTGGCCCACAGAGCAGAACTGGTGGCAACTCAGTGGCAGGGGCCCCTCTAAGAGAGCAGCTGAGCTTCATTACCTGTTTTGTCTGCACTGTAGGCCAGGCTGGTACTGGGGAGTCGTCCTGGTGCGGGAGCTGCAGTGGAAGGTGCAGCTTTGTTTTGCTCATTCCCCCGGTCAGTCTGGGTGCTGCAGTCTCTGCTGCCGGTTTTCGAGTGGGCTGACAGCAACGGTGTGGAAGGAAGGACAGGAGAGGGGGTGGAGGGAATGGATTCGGAGCGATATTCTGTTCCCAGCAGAACACCTTTGTGGAAAAAGAGAAGGAAATTTCACAATCCCAGAAAACTAACTGGTATCAGTTCTGCACCCCTCTGTAGTCACTTGCTCTAGGATCTGGAAAGCACTCCGTGCTTCAGCAGACGGCACTTATTTACATTTCTACAGCACCTTTCACCACTGGGTGCTGAAGTGCCGAAGAACCGCAGTATCCTCATGTTGCTGCATGCAAAGATACGCAACTGGGTACTAACACCTTACTTCCCTGTCTCTGAGCAGTGGCCCATCTACGGCAGGGTAAATCTGCACACTCTAAAATCAGCTGCAACAGATTATCTTTTACATTTCAGTGTCTTTTAGTCTCATAGGGAGGGCCTTTCGTCCTAACTACCCCCAGAAAAAAAAAAAAAAACCAAACACATCTAAGATTTGCTCTGTTACAACTCATTTTCTCCGAACAGTGGTGTTGAGCCATTCCAGACAAAAGTCACGTTAGTGCAGGCACACCACCACAGGACAGCAATCCTGGTTAGTATCTCTGCTCCTATTCAAGGAGACTTTACACCTTCAGACTTTACACAGCTGAAAGCAAGCACTTGGGAAGTCTGAAAACGAGATATCAAATATCCCTGAAGTCAGGTACCAAACTGGGAATAAAGGCTTACGTATTTTAATGACAGAGCCTGGACATCAGAAGTCACTATTTTCCAGAAGTGATTAGAACAAGCAGTTGTTCCAAATGTGTCCCATCTTGCTTGCAGCCAGCTTTACAGCCGGCTGACCTGTCTGTCCGACACACCTTCTTCCTTCTGCTGCTCCTACCTCCTCTCTAAGCAGTGACTTGTGGATCTGAATTGCCACTGTTATTTAAAAATTACCTAGGCTGCCTTTCCAGCTCTTGTCCTCCCTCTTCTCCTCCAGGATGGGTGTGCTGCTCAGTGTCGACGAGTGGGACAGCAAGCCCGAGCCAGCGTTCGATATCGACATCAGCGACTTGGCGGGTCTCATTGAGGAGAGCTGGTCTGTCTTACCCGGCTCCTTCCGGGAGCGCTGCTGCAGGACTTTGATCATGGCATCCTTCTCAATGATCTGAGCGTGCAGAGTCTTGATCCTTTTTGAGAATAACACAGAAGAACAATGTACTTGTATTCCTGTCTCCTTGGACCGAGGCCTCAGTGTCCCCATGGCTGTGACTACGACTCCCGGAGGCATTTGGGGAGGCGGAGAGAGGATGCCCGTGAGCTTATTGCCCTGAACTCTGGCTGCTCACCAGCCCACCAGCGCAGATCATGTCTAAGACTTCGTGTACACATGCAGGAGAGAGCAGCACTGTGATATCTACCTACTTTGTCTACGGGAAACTGCTCTGAACAGCCACGGAAGGGGCTCTGAGACAAAGCTGGGAGCTATGGACAGGACATGAGACCAACAGCAAGATGAGGATTAACACACTTTTGGGGACCTAACTCCAGGGAAAACACTTCTGGGAGACCATTAAAGGTGGCTGGAGCCTGGGGTCTGATGAAGATGCCCTGAAGAGAGAAGAGGAACCAGCTAGGTGCAAAAAATCTAAGACAAGCCTTTTTTCCATTAGTCCTCAGTATCAAGACAGGTTTTGGATTGCTATGTAGGTACTTCCTTGGCCAAATGAGCATCTGGCATGCTGTTGGTGAAGACACAAGAATTTCTGGTTCTGAGGCGTCTACGCAGACAACTAATTTAAAAACCTTGTCCTAAAGAAGCCACATAGGACGAAACTGCATTTTACCTTCCCTCCATGTCGAGACACCTCCTGTTAGCAAGCAGGATCTCTTCCTCCTCCTTCTGAATGCGAGCTTCCAGCGAGGTGTCATAGCTAGGGTTAGGCGAGTGGCTGATCACCGTCGTCGTGTCCCTGAGAACAAACAGTAGAACAGATGAAGGACCAGCTAAGTTTGCTTTTTTCCTCCTAGAATCACAAAATTATTGCTCAAAAGTAACAAACAAGAACATCCACTTTTTTTTTAGTTTAGGTTGGCTCAGTGTCTTCCAAAAATCCAACTCCCAGTCCTAATGAAAGAAGGATTACAAAAATACACAAGTCATTACAACAACAGCTAATCTACGGTCCATCCCGGGCCAGTCTATAATCTAACTGATCCACTGTACTATTGTAAACTGATTGATGAGGCAAATTCAAGGACATGGGGAGGGAGAAGGATGGTATAGAGCACTAGGCACTTTTCTTCAACTGAAACAGCGCAAACTTCGCTTCAGATATAAAGTAATAAGAAATCTGTTCTCTCAGACCCATCAGGTCTAAGAACTGCATGGTAATGTACCTTTATCTCTGCACAAGTTCAGATCAGGAATGGCAAAGCACCAATGAGAACAGTATAAGAAGGTCACTCATCAAAGAAACCTAACCTGATCCAGATTCCTGCCTGTGCTGTAAAGTATCCTTCCTGCAACCTCAGCTTCCTGAGGGGTGCTATTTTCCACTATCAAAGAAAATGGAAATAAATTTGTGCGGTGGAATCAGAGGAATCTCTCGCAGCCTGTATTTTTGAAGGAGATGCTATCAGTGCCAATTGCATATAAACTGGCAGAAGTATTGACACTAATGGAATGCTCTCTTGTAGGGGAGAAGTAGCTAGAAGGAAATAGAAAAATGGACGTTGGCTCTTTCCTTACTGGAAGGCATTATTGTTCATTTAGCAAAATTTGAACGGGCCTAACACATCCCCTCTCATTCCACGACAAACAATAGACCAGACCCCTACTTATCAGCACACGCTGAAAATATTACATGCCTCTAAGGGCAAGCAGTAGCAAGAGCCTTTAGAGAATCTCTGGGGAGGCGGAAAACAGCGCACAAGAAGCATCAATACCCTAAAATAACAGCCTGCTTCTGGAGCAAGATAAGATAAGTCTTTAAATGCTAACACAGCAGATCTGCAACTTTACCCCTGTAATTCTAGTATGATCTGACGAGCTGGGGAGTCAGTTGCAATAACATCCCTATTTGAATCTGGTTCATGAGACAATCTAAAATAAAATCTGCTGTCAAGAACCAGAAACTAGTGAGCAATGAAATGATATGTAAGCAATACCTAACGCTAAAGAGTTGCACTCCAATAACAGCTTTTGTTTAGCCAAAGCACTTGGGCCTATTTACAGCCATAAGGAGTGTTCCCGTACAGTTGTCTTGGAATGCGAGCTTGTTGCCAAATTTCAGACACCCTTCCCTTCCCACCCTGAAAAGCAGTGCTCTCCATACACAGCAGAATGTTTGGAGCAGAATTTCCTAGTAGATGTTTCTGGTTAGTAACCATGCTGAGGACAATACCACAAAGTAATCTGCAAAAACATTCTGGAGAACAAGTAAGCCATTCAGGGTCAGTGATGTGAATCACCAAGCTTACCCCATCTCACATGACTTCAGTGAGGACTGATTCCTGTTTAAAAAAATAAAAAACCAAAACGCTCCTCATACATCTATTTTTGAATAAACAGCTTCTAGGAATGGCTCAGAACAATTCTAGTCTGGAAAATGGCTCCTGCATGTGGGGGAATCTTCCCCCAGAAAAAAGTTTCTAATTGCTGGCAATTGCATGGCTCCCGGGAAAAGCAGCCAAGCTCCATTTGCATGCAGAGGTCTGAGAAGCTGTTCAGACCGCAAGGAGAGGTATTATGGGAGGGTGTTATGACAACATTCCTTGGTGGGAAATATGACATCCAACTGGAAAAAGAAAATAATCCCTGTACTCTGAAAAGTCTCCTTTACCTCTGAGCAGCCACAGTTGCAGCTGCATCCAAAGCAAACTGTCTCATCACACTCTCCTCCAGGTATTTCTGTTCCCATTTGGTCATGTCAGCTTCCAGAGCAAGAATCCTTTCTTCCTTCTCGCGCAGGAGTTCCATAAGCGCTGTGGCATTGTACTCCGAGACGTTGGCAGCCTGAGATGTACCCTGACGCTGGTTTCCAAAATACAAAAAAAAAAAAGTCTCAGGATGCATCTGTAAGGCTCAGGGTTGATTTGATTTGTTTGCTTTTTGTCTGAAGGAGAGAGGCTGGTTTAGAGCAGCACTGGTTTGATGCAAGAACCCCTCAGACTGAAATGCAGTGGCCTGGGCCATGCTGGGCAGACTAGGTGATGGTAACAGACTCCTTCAGAGCTTAATCTAAAACATCTGCAGGGGCACTTCAGCCTGACTCTGCCAAAACCAGGAAACAAGCTCATATAAAGCAAGAGAAAGGCTCTTTCTATTTTCCAAATGTTGAAGTTCAAAAGTCCTAAAACACCACACACTGCTCCCCAGAAAGACAGCTTAAGTCACAGCACCCATGCTAGTGTGCTCTCGTATCTAAATTTTCTGGTTGGAATGGAAAAATTAAATCAAGTAAAACCTATAACAGCCAGAAAATCCAGGATTCTAGCTCCCAAAAGAAAAAGTTGCTAATTTTAGACGATGGAAGAAACCACTGCCCTACTTTTATGTGTGGTGTAGGGTATGGCACAGGGAAACAGCGGGTACCTGCTGCATCCGGAGAGATTCCAGTTCCCTCTCCAGCCGGGTCCGCAGCCGGTGTTCCAGCTGTTCCCGTTTCTCACATGCTGCCTGCAGCTGAACCAGGGCCTGCTGCATCTTCTCCACCTTCTCGACATAGACCTGCTTCTTTTTGAGCTGAAACAAAAGAAGAAAATGCAACATAAGTTAAATAATGAGAACAAGTGAGTGAAAGTCTGGGCTTGTACACATCGCAGAGCACAGACACACCAGCCAGGAAGAACAGTGTGCCTCAGACTCCTGCTTTGGACTCAACACTCAGGAAGTTACGAGTCTTGCCCATCTTTGCTTTCCTGCTAGGTGTATTTGTTCTTTTTGTCCTCAGCAACCCCATAGTAATTATGGGGAAACTTTGGGAAACGACTGAGAGCAGCAATGGTGTAGAAAGGGCATCTGGGTTCATAACAGCGAGTGTTTAAGTGACGACGCACATTACCAAGGTAATTGTAGGAAAGACAGGGATTAGAGCTGGTCCAGAAGTTGGGAACACTTGTCAGTGCAATATTGAAAATTACTGGCAGTGTTTTTACAAGATTAAGCAGGAACTGAATCAAAACTTGCAGGGTCCTATTCTCCAGTCCCACGACAAAAAAATAATGATTAGGATCAAACCACACACTAGACATGGCCTGTGCTCTCTCCACACTAAAATAGGAATTAAAAAAGGAATAAACCACACGCAGGGCCCCGCTCTATTCTAATATATAGAATACTGCACACCTATGGACACAACATTCCCTTAAGACTATCATAATTAGCTGGCATTCTGCAGCAAATCTGGGGCATTGCTTTTTTAGCTCTGATTGTCATAAACCCTGAAAGGCAAAAAAAGCAGGACGAAGGCAACTCTTCTCAACAGTCTGAGCCAAAGTCCAGAGGAGCACCAGAATGCAAAACACAGACTCCCTTATGTGAGTTCAAAAGAGCTACTCTACAGCTTCATGGAAGAAAAGTCTACTGAGGGATATTAAAGACAAAAGACACCACTTTTGGCTCAGGAAGTCCTTCTTGGAAGCGGAAAATATTCTGGGAAAGTATCGCTGTTTGCTGGCCCCATTCTGATAGCGCTCCCTAGGAATCTGCTGCAAATTTCGGCAGAAGCAGGATACTAGGCTTGCTGGGCTTTGATGTGAACAACATGAGCCATTCTTACATCACACCTTCCTTCTGAAAAGGTCTTATCATGTGTTTCTTCAAATTTTTCCCTTTCCACACTCCTGTTCCTTGAGGCAATCCAGAGACTGCAACGTGAATAGCAGAGAGAGAAATCTCCAAACATTATTAATCCCAGACATGGTATCCTTTCCCTCTCTTCATAAAGTCAGCAGGCATCTAATCTCACAGCATGAATGCTGCTGCCCTAGAGGATTTTCCCCAAACAAGTATTTTATTTGAAAAGTTACAATAAATGGTGAGTAATCCAGCCAAATGCCTTCCCACCAGCGCATGTACGTAGAGAGGTATTTTTATTCTTTGGTTGCTCAAGATTTCACGCTTGTTTGGAACGGGAGGGACAAGAACATTTTAATGCAACTTAATATTCCATTGCTGCTCTGCAGATAATTAATAAAAATGTTCTACTTAATAGATGTTTTTATTCCCAATCACAGTGTTTAATAACACTGATTTAAACTTTCTCAGACCCCAATAAAGTGTAGATTCGTGCACTAGTTTTACACTTACATTAACAGCAGCTCAAACTAACTCTGTAACTAACCAAAAAATATAAACCATGAGTCATCAGTAGAACCTAGAAATGGAGAGCACCCAGCATCCTGGTTTTGCATATGAGCTTACTGACCTGGACAAGAGTAGGGAACAACCTAATATCACTCATTGAGCTGAATAATAATCTCCTGAAAATCAACTCTTCTCCCTCACTCTTCTGTATAAAAAATTAAGGAAGGTCGGACAGGCATTTGGTCTCTTATTATCTACCACCAAGCATTTACATTGCTGAAAAGTTTTTTAACACACAGGTAAAATTCTCCTTGCAAAAGGTCGCCACTGACAACATTTTAGTTGTTTCATAATTAATAAACACGAGTACGCGTATGTGTGGATTAACGTTTTGGCCTGCAGTCAAAGAATACCAAGAGCCCAGCCAAAAAAGAATTAGGACACCGAAATTCCACTGAAACGTTCACTTTGAAAGTGCTCCCATCAGCCCAACCTGCAGGTGAAACATTGCAACACAAGCTGTTGCCCAACTTGCCAGCACTGCCTGCACACGCCTAACTCATGTGCCAGACCTAAAGGACAGGCACGGCTTGTTCAGTGGCTTTTCAGAAAGACAACTTTTTTTTTTTCCCCCCCTTCATAAAATACACTTCATCATCCAGCATCAGGAAGAATTAGGAATGTCAGAAAATGTTGGGGTTGTATGTGTGTGGTTTTTTTTTTAATGGCTTAAAACCAGAATAAATTCAGGAAGCTCTGAAATAATTTTAAGTTTTTAGGAACACAGACATTCAACAACCTTTAAAGGCACGTATGTTCTCTTGACAACTCAGCTTTCCCAACATGTCTTTTGACACAATTATCCTTCATATATGAGATTGTTTCCAATCATGTACTTGAGGCACTCAGTCAACCCGCTGCATATTCTGGCAGTGTCATTGATTTCCAGCTCTGCCATCTCCATTACTTCGAGTATTTGTGAAGAACAATTTACCTTTCTGTGAACCAGGATTCTCCAGGAGTGGTAGTAGTGGAATGTAATTTTATTTTATTTTTTTTAAAACCTTTCTGACTTGATCTATCCTCTCAATGTGAAGAGGATCAGGAATAATTCTTCCAAGCACAGAGGGATTTCATTACCATAAACTGAGAGTATGATCGTGTTTTCCTAAGACAGGAATTGGAAACAGAGTTTCCTGAGTATTGCCAGGGTGCTGCAGACATAAGTGAGATGGGAGGAAGGGAAAAAGACAGCATGATGAGGCTTGTTCTTTGTCATTTGCCATGGATTCCCCACCCTCTCTCTTCCAGCCAAGAGCCAAAACTGGCTGCTCAGTGCCAAGGGCGACAGTAACACCTACCACGGGGGGAGATGGCATCAAAGGATGCTGGAATTCTCTCCTCTGCAACAGGCCTTGCAGTGAACACGTGCTCTAGATAAGAGTTCATTCCTGAAGCTTTACAAGGATGCAGTCACACCCTTCCATATGTAATTTTAAATAAATTTGCCAAGGCAGTAATTTTCCTTTTGATGGTCCTGCATTTAACTAAGAAGCCAGCTCATGCTCACATAATGTACTGTAACTGTTTTGCCTTGAAGGGTGCTCTGAAAATGCGAAGGGTGCTCCGGAAATGCAGAGCATTTCACTCATTAGAATATCTTTATTATAGCACCTCTTTAAGACCGTAAGATCCCAAATAACCTTGGTGCACGTCTGAAAGCGCAGCAGAGCACTTCAGCCTGACTGTATCCCTTCCCAGCACTTCCTACAGCACAGGGCACAACTTTAATCATGTGCACATCTTCTCCAGGTCAACCCCTGACTGCTTTGGAAAACATCCTAACCAGGTCAGGTTTTAACTCTATCAAGGAGATTTCCTAATTAAACCATTTTAAAAATGAGCAGTCACTCTCCAGTTCACATCCACTACGATGTTTACGTAAATTCTGCAGCAGCACTGAGGACAAGAAAAATAAAGCAAGCAAGGAGTGCCTTGGGGCGATTGTAGAAATGTAGTACACAAAAATGTGAACTGATGCAGGGAATACCCCTGAAAGATTCTCTGGCCTCCCGATCAAGTATTTCTGTCTTCATTTTATTTCCTCTATCCCTTCTCAAGATTGCTTTCTGCAGTTGAGAGCCAGCTGGGAGAAGCAGAATACGCTTGGGATTCAGAGGCTTCCTGCTCACAAGAGTCTGGCTGACCTGAAGAGGAATCTGGTTCCAAGTGAGTCAGAAAGATTTACTGCCTAAAAATGTCTGCACAGCGATATCCCCAAACAGCAGGGTTTCCAGCAATGGAAAACGAATCAACCACTCTAAACATACAGGAATGAAATTATTAAACAAATTCACTAAACCTAGAAAAATTAAACCAGTCCTCAGAACGTTTTCATAGGAGAAAAGACTTCCTAAGACAACAAAACGCCTGGCAGCAGGCAACCGGCAGGTTCTCCACTACACAAAGCATTTGCATGGTCTCAAATCGATGGCCAAGGACAAAGCGCTCCCGTCAGAACTAGGGACATTTCATGATTACCACAACTGCCCACCAGAAAAGGGATTAACATTCTAAAAGCCAAACAAACCCTGTTCCTTCATTTGATTTAGGCTTTTCGGCAAAGTCTTTGACAAACCATGCAACTTCTTTCAGGGATCCCAGGTCCCTGCACGAGAAAGGCTCTGAAGAGGGCAGGGAGGTTTCCTGCACATAGCACAAGGAGCAGAGACATCCAGGAACGAGGGATTTTCACTGTCAGGTCGCTAGACACAAGGGAGGTAGAAGCTGTGACATCCTCCGGACTGGAGCTGCCTTTGCGGGACAAACGCAGTCCTGGACACAGCAGGTGAGGGGGAAGGAAGGATCTTCTCTTGTACAGAGATTCATCACTTCCAGATGCGTTACTCAGCAAAGAATTTTTCTGGGGAAGAAGAGAAGGCTTCCTGCATAGCCAGCAACGATTCAGAAACTCTCCCAGGCCTTTTGACAAACCCAGCCATTTCCCTCTTCATCTCGGACAGCTCCTATTTCAGCAAATTGGTAACACTCGTCAGCATCTGCTTGTCTCCCACCCACTATTTCTGAAATCTTCAAAGTCCTTTGTTTAATATATTCAGGGTGTTTTCATTACATTCTGGTTTATTCTAAAGCTGAATTCATTCAGATGCAGCTGAAAACATGTTTCCCCACAAGAATTTGCCTGCTATGGCAGAAATGCAGTAAAGAAAAAAAGACAGCAAGCACGTTTAAACCACCTCTCCCTCTTGCAGTTGGAATAGATTCCTCCAGGACGCCTTTGAACCCTCAGTTGGTTTGAATTCAGGCCCAGTAAGGCACCACTGGCCTCAGCAAGAACTCACGTTGCAGCAATTTGGTAACACTATTCTCTTGCTAGGGAATATTGTTTGTTGCAAGGGAACACCATAATGTCATCTCTCTGCTTGTTGGTGTTAAAATAAGTTATAACTCTCAAAGGCAGAATATGAGAGGTAGCGACACAGCAATAAAAAGCCAGTTCTGCATTGTTACGAGAACGCAGCTCATTAAAGACACAGTGAAGAGAGGGAGTTTTCTCTCCTCTCCACTCTACCCATCCATGAATGATAAGCCATCCAAAAAGTGTCCCCTTCAAAAGCAGCTCTGTCCTGAAATTAGTATTTATGTAGCTCTGAGAGGCTAAGCATTTAAGTAGGAATATCTTTTTATAGACCCAGAGAAGGGACTGGAAAAACCAGACAAGCCTTCAAGCACACAGACTCTCCTCTGGATCTCTTTCCTACAAGCCAGAGCTCTGTTCCGAAAGTATCTCAGATACAGCGTATGAAGTACAATAGATGTCATTTGAAAATGAACGTTTCCGCATTTCCCCACAGACAGAACCCTCAGTGTTATCAGAAATAGTGCGCTATTTCTCTCCACAGTAGCTGAGTGGGAAATGAACATAATATCTTAGCTCTGGTATCTGGTTTATGTTGAATTCTGATGGCTGAAAGATTTTATAGCTTCTATACACAAGCCACTTCTAGAAAAGATATTCCATTCAAGCTTCTTCCCTTCCCCCAGCCCCCAACTTGCACCTATTAGAGAGGATGTCTGGCTCCTTTCCACCACAAGGTGTGTGCGTGAGGATGGCAAAGAGTAGGTATTTATATCTGCTCAGGGGTAGTCACTATTTTTCAAAGCTGTCTCCTTAAGGCACTAATTAAAACAGTGGCTTGTAAAGTGGTGAAGCTAAGGAATACAAGTTACACTACTATAAAAAAAAAAAACCACAAACTTTTTTTAAGTTGAAGTGTGGTCTTCCATGGTATGAATTAACCGGGATAAGCAGAAATGACCAAGTTCAATAGAAGTTCTGGAAATTCTTTTTTTTTTTTTCCAAGTGTAAAAACAGTAGCAATTGTACCCTCTACATCCAGCAGTTGTGGTTAGATAAAGTATTTGGCATCAAGCTCCCTCCTGCAATATTACAAGCCTGGTAAGGAAGAAGCCAGCATTTACCCAGAGTCTCCGGCTGGTCCGGGTGGTCCTTTCTGCAAACCCAGCAGTTCCGCCTTTGGCCCAGAGCAAAGCGAAACTTAACCGTCTGCTCTGTGTGCTGAAGGCTCTCAAGGTGTATGCTAGAAGAGGCTGGTTAAATCATGGTAACACGACTATTTTACAAGCTCACCCGTACAGGTCATCTGTGACCATCCACCAGCTACAAACCTGCTGCACGCTGCAGCCATTCAAATGTTTACATCAAAACGGAGACCACCGTGGCAATCCATGCTCCAAAATGAGAATTTGTCATTGCAGAAATAAACTTCACACTATATAAAACTTTAATGGCAGCTCGTTCTAAATTTCAAGAGTCAGCTCACCCCTGCTAACAGACCAGGGAACGTATTCTGTGAATCTCTGCTTTTACTTCCAGCAGCTTCATACTATACTCCAGTATCTCCACGATCATTCCCTTCGCCATCACAGACAGCACCTCTTTCTCTTTTCCTTCCCTCTAACTTGGATGCTAAAATCCAACGTATACAAAAACTGTCAAAGCTCCATAGCAGTAGACAAGTATCTACATTTTACAGATGGGTGGTTTTGTCCAAACTGACACTATTCAGGCGAAGGATTTTTAAAAGAATCTGGAAGTTCCAATTCCAATGCAACATTTAAATTCAGCTATAGTAATACATGGCTTACAGCTCTCATTAGAACGGAAATATTCCTTTTATAAAGGATCTGGTGCGTATAAGGCAGGGTAACTCTGCTTAATAGGAAGTCAAAACGGAAGGAAAAAAAAAAAAGCTGAAAACTTACATTACAGGATGCAAGAACTGAAATATGCACACTCCCCCTCAGGCCCTGAGCCAGAGTGGCTGCCAAACCTCAGCGTAAGAAACTCCACCCTCTTCTGCGGGACTAGTTTGGAAATTCCTGGCAATTACAGGGACTAGTAACTCAGATTAAACTGGCAGCAATAAAAAAAATAATTGACAAATTGTTCATATATCTTGGTTACTGAACGTCACTAACTCAGGCTGACATTTACAGTCCCTTCCTAAATGGTGCCCTGAGCACTGAACAGCTTGCTTGGCTGTCTTCCGGAAAGTTATCAAACAGCTCAGGGATTTGAGAAGTTTCCATAATTTAATACTAATGAGGCAACAAATGCTTTATAATCTCAAGTATTTCATTAAAAAGTGATTTGGGAAACCTGCAAAAGTGACTCTTTACCCCTTCTGCTTCCCCACATTCCCCCTCACCTCTAGGAAAAGGCAGAGTTAATTCCTGCTCCCTCACTGAGACGCTTCCATATTTATCTACAACAGGAAGGGTGGCACTTCCTGCACACCCTGGGATTCGAGCAAAGGTTGGATGCAAATGACCACAAGCCCTCATGGAGGGCATTTCACTCTATATCAGCATATGTGTGGTTTTTTAAGCTATCATGCAATCTAACCCAAAATTACTTACCTATTTTACTATTCTACCTAGGCAGAAATACATTGCAACCCAATTCTTCAAGTAAAACGAGAAAAGTCTTTTGAAAAGGAAACATACAATCATTATTACCCCTAAAAGCTTCAACTTGTCTGTGAGAGGGTCAATATTAGTGCCTACACAGAGGTCCAACCTAGCCAAGTGCTGTGTGTGCTGGCCCCGGCTGATCACAGCACCTTCGTACACGTTGACTCCAAGACTGTGAACAGTTCCAGGGAAGTCTCACGGATGTCCGGTGTGCTTAAAGTTAGTCACACATCAAACTTTTAGTGAAATAGGTTCTGAAATCTGAATGAAAGCTAAAGAGCTCCAATAAATTGCAGGAGCAAATGACAGAATGGTTTTAGAGCCAAAGAGAATCATGTCCCGTTTAAATTACCCTAAAGCTTCCTGTCCCCCTGAGCAACAGAGGCACAAGTCAGCCTTACCAGGAGATGCTGCACTTTCCATGAAATCAACGGACTTTTGCACAAGGCTGAATGTGGCCGGTGATATTTAAGCATTCCTCTGATTCTGTCCTTCTTTTTTTATTCTTACGATTTGTTTTGCACAGAACCTGGTTCCCCAGCAATGGACCCCAGCCTGGCGATGCTAAGCGCTGTAATATGAAAGCTCCCTGCCCTGGACACCTGAAGGGCCTGGAAAGCAAAGAGGAACTGCCTGAATTTGATGTGGTGGAAAAAGGTGGAGCACTGGGGAGAAAGGTTACTAAGGTATGATGGCAGGCAAACCTGCAATGACATCCTGAATGAGCAAAGCTGATCCAGGAGGGGACAGACTGAGGAAGGGCTTCCATGAAGCTGAAGTGATTAAAAGAAAGGTACTGCAAGGGGTAAAAATTAAATGACACCAGGGAAAGAAACAAAGGAAGGTTCGGGGGAAGGGCTACTGAGGCAAATAGAGAGCTTAGAGAAGAGCACGCTAAAATTAAGAAGTGGCTCCAGCTGTACCTTGGACAGGAGGGCCACAGGCAAGATAAGATAGGAGGATGTTCAGTTTGTATTTGATCATTCCTCCTCTCTTGGCATAATGAGATCCTGAATGGAGAGAGGAGTAGAAGGAGACAAGGGGAGGGCTTGAGGGATGCCTCTGAAGACAGCAAGTTGCAGCATTAGAGTTAGGGTTGTGCTCAGCGACGGTAAGTGCCAGCAGGCAGGAAAATGGCAGAATTGAAGGAGGAGAGAACAAATCTGCAGTGGAGGAAATGTGCCTGGTCATGAGATTTCCTCCAGAGGCTCTCAATGGAGGAAGAGTAGGAGTAAAGGAAACAGAGGCTGGGAGTGGGAAATGGAGCCTTTGAGAGGAAAGGAGTAGGCGGGAGGAAAGAAGACGGCAGAAGGGCAGTGAAGTGAGAGCCATGTGTGAATGGCAGAGGTAAGGCTACAAAAGAAACTGCCGTGAAAGCTGCCCAGCTAAGCAGCTCAAACGCATTATCCCCTCTTGGGAGGAAAGGGAGAGAAAACAACCAAGGTCATGCCCAGCTTATTACAAATGCCAGGCACATACGGCGATCTGCACTGTGCACCATGATAACCTGCTAAGTGGAACACCTGGCAAGGGGACAAGCTGCATTCATTTGATATTAAAAGTCCATCCAGATCTGAATTTCTGCCAAGTTCAGGAAGTTGCCAGGGCTGGGATTTCAGTTCCAGCTCACTTTTATCAGTTGAAACAAAAAGAAAATGAAACATGGCTGCTTAGACGAAAGCACTTCCAAGGAAATACAGATTTGTGGCTTATCTGTGCACAGTTCAGTGGTTTAGCTAACCAACACAAAGCTAAGCCGATATAAACAGCTTTGAAGCAAGCAGATTTCCTTATAATTTGCACAAGACAAACTCATTCCCACAGTCACTTTTACTGGAGCCCAAGCTACCCTAATTTGTCTCTCCCAGCATCCTTACCTCCTCCTCCAGTTTCACCACCTTGGCCTGAGCATTGTTCAAGGCCTGGTCTCGGATCTCAATGTGTCTTCGTTGGTCCTCGTTGGTGGAGCGTGCAGCAGCCAGTTCTATTTCCAGTTTCTCTTTTTCCCGCTGCGTTTCCTTGTCTAGCAAAACAAAGTGACAGTTATCAATGGCAGCACTCATCTCTACCCAGCTTTCAGGAGTCTTTCACTCCAGAGGTGAAGGAAAGATTGTACTGGAACTTCTCACAAGAGAGAGAACGCAAATCTAGTCCTCAGGTGAAAAAAACAAAAAAGTACATGGCTTTCAAGGAAGAGAAGGACTCGTAACCTTGAAAAACAAGCATGATACCTTCAAGTAACAAGGAGCCACAATGCTAGCAAGAAGGAATAGAAGATGCATCACTCAGTACAGTCATGTAATTTGCTCTGGTTATGCAGATGGTTAGTGAAACTTGGCACCTCTTTACCTCTGAGCTTTCAGCAGTGGAAAACAAACTGGGTAACTTTAATATGCCAGGCTGGTGAGAGGACATGGCAGACTTCCGTGCCTGAAAAACCTGAGTTCCTTTTTTTCACACTGACCCCACAAATGGAATGTTGCTCTGCCTGGGGCAGCTGTCCTTCTCAATGTAACAGCCAGTTGTCCCACTTTGCTGGCAGTACCACCAGAGGAGTCAGAAAACAAGTGAGCAGAGAGAACTCCTCAGTCTTCCTCTACTGCCCTTAAAAACGACCCCCAGGGCCAGAACTAAGGCACATATCACTGCTCAAAGTAGACCTGCAGTTCAAGAAAGCCCTTCACCCAGCACTGAGAGCTCATGTCTGACGCTTTAAAGCCACCCCAAGCACTACAGCCCGTCCTTTCCTGCTGCTCTCCAGAAAGAGCTGGTCCTAGTGGGAGCAGGTATGTTGTGTGTTTCAGGAAAAGGGCAACTACCTTAATAAAAAAATAAATAGAATAAAATAATTGGGGACTGGAGAAATTATCACATGAGGGTGTAAAGCAAAGCCACAACACAGAGCTGATGTCCTCTGTGTATGCTGCCATTCCCAGCTCAAGCCAATCAGCTGCAATGTTAACATTAACACACTTGCTGGATACGCAGCCACAGAATACTCCCTGGAGTGATCTACACCCAGGACTGATGACACCAGAGAAACTGCATTCCAGAAACCAATATCCCACGACAAAGGAATGAGGACAAGGAGTGGAAGGCTTGAAAAACAGGAACTAGATCCTGGGTGTTAGGACAGACTGCATACAGAGTACACAGGCCCGTTTGTGCAAGCATGTGCATAACTATATTTACAGGACCACAATTATTCCCTTTCCTCTGCCAGCAGAGAGCCAGGAGCAGAGCTTTAGCAACATGGAATAGCTAAAGATTCCCTTCTGCTGGGGAATCAATGCAGCCCACACACAGGTTGCAAAACAAACCTGTCCATGATCAGCATCCAGAACTCTGCAGAGCAAACCCTGACTGTAACTTAGAGTTAGCCTGAGACATAAGACACAAGGCTAATGTCACCACCTGCCTATTCTTTTCTGCATCTCTCCCATCCCAGTATTTCTCCTCCACCCAGGAAATGAGTTGCTGACAGTGTCAGCATGCTAAAATGTATTGCAGAAAATGGGCAGAGATGAGACAGGGTGGCATTACGCCAGCAGGTATCAATCAGTGCCAGCAGTCTGTTTGTTAATCTCTAAGTGCTTGCAGCAAGGCTTTTGGAGGTTTTGTTCCAGACTTTTCCCCAAACGAGTACAGCTTTGCTTGACAAGTGCCTACAGCACCCCTGGAAATGCTGGGACTAATGAAATGCAGTGCTATGGTTCCCAAGTTCACCCAAAAGGAGAAAGTGAATGTAAAGCCTCACAGCTTTGACCTTCCCACCTCTCTGGGTAAACCTATGAACCTCAAAGTCCACACAACCAGTCTGAATGCGAGACTGAACGCACAGACTTTCCACTGCCACCAGGAGTCTGGAATTCACAGGCTGACAGCCATCTGCTTGCAACGTCAGCCACAAGGAATAAGCTAAAGACAACACTAGAAAGGGATACCAGCATTTGTCAGGAGCAGCAGTGTGTGTTACACCACAGAAAATCTCTATTTTGCAATTTCATTGCATTACCTTTTTATATAACAATTGGAGAAAAGCGAGCATTGTCAGAAGGGTGGAGTACACTACGGGATGAGGGAAAGTTGGCTCACTGCCGTCGGCCTCAAGACATTTCAGTACAAAAGAAAAGCAGCATTTCACACCCGTCATTTTGGCTTGCCTTGTGATAAAACCACTGCTTGTGGACAGATTTCTTGACCCTTACAGAGCACAACATATTACAGGCAGTGTTCATCCCCTTTACTTTTGGTGAACTGGACAGAGCAGCAGCAACTTAAGACACCTACTAGGTTCCTGTCCCACTGGCCTTAACTCACGCCAGGACTCCTGTCAGCCTGGAAAGGTTTAAATTCGAAGCTTCCAGGGGACAAAATAGGTGGACAAAATACCCCGTACTTTATGGAGTAAACACCAATTTTACAGTTTAACTGCAAACTACATTTGGTCCAAAATCTCTAATAAATGCCATCAGGTGGACTTAACATACTGACAGAAAAGAAATTCTTGAGTCCCTCCTCCTTTCTCCACTGCCAGTTCTGGACTGTCACTGCCCTGATTTCTGTCCCAGTAGAAAATCGACAAATCTGAACTACACTAATCTGCTGCACTGTTATCCTTCCCAGGGTGACCAGAGCATTTCTACTGACCCATAATGATTGTGTAACTCACTTTGTGCAAAGAGTTGAGAGATGGTTTTCCGATTGTCTTCAGACCCCTCAAATTCCTTCTCCGCAAGCTGCTTGTTGGCTGTCTCCATACGTTCTGTAATTTTTTTCAACAAAAAGAACACTAAATAATTAAAAACTTTCAAGCATTAAGTCACGTGTGATCAGGAAACTTCTAATGCAACCTAGGGGAATGGCTCTCCTAATTCTACACTGCCAAAAGTAAAAAGCCTATGAGAAGCTGGCACTAACTTTTGAAATGTTTCAAATTCTGTCCTTGAGAAAATATTCTCAATGAGATAAAATGGGCTAAATGAAAGTTCCAAATAAATTAAACAATTATAACACATAAAAAGTTTATTTTTTCAATTTTTACAAATGTTAAGACACTTTTCCATGCAAATAAATCTCACCATGCAATTAAAATATTCCCTTATAATTCTCTACTAAATCTTAATAGCTAAAAGATTAAATCACTGTTGTCCAATTACCTGACTTCAGGGAAAAGTATAAAACCCTAAGGACAGCTTAACAGTTCTGCTGCTGAAGGCTGTTAGAAATTTCTATCAGTCTATGAAAATAAGAATAAAATGTTTATGCTGTGTTTTATTATGAATAAGATTATTTAATGCAGGCTTTTGTGTACCGTCCTTCTCGATAGCACCAGGCACTGCATGGACTTACTTCTTGGATGCAAAACAATTCCTGGGAGCACAGCCATAGTGAGAGACTAGGGGCAGTAAGAGCAGATGACATGTAGGATAATCAGAAGGCTTTCACAAAAAAATTAGAGTTTAAAAGACTGAATGTACACCTTTAGACATCTCAAACTGCAGATGTTTTTTGCCTTTCAAACTAACGCTTAAACTTTGACCCATGTTAAGGTCAAATACCATTCAACATCACTCTCCACTGCCAGCCGTCGCACTGTCTCAGCCTCTTAGCAAGAACCAGACACTAATAACACCTCACTCTGGAAAAGGAAGGGACATCCAAAAAACCAGATGCCTACATTGATAAGGAATGACAAGACCTTCAGGAAGAACAGTCAGTCTGCAGTTTGTATGTCAGTGCAAAAGGGTCATTGGACAGGAAATAAAGTGAACATGCCTGGTGTGGGATTAGGCAGTCAGCAAAACGGCTTTCCATTTGTATAAACTGAACAAATTGTACAAATTGTGTCTAGGGTTATAAGACAAGAGAGAATTCCAGGCTTGCATCTGGTTTGTGGTATTTGTCTTATCACATGCTTCTCCTCAATGAGAAACAGGCTGGAAATGAGAGACTACAGCACTCTCCTAAACCTGTCTTTTCCATACTCCCAGCAAGCACTCAAAACCTCAGACTATTGAATATACCCGAGCATCCTGACTGTCATATTCCAGGTATGTGAATTCTGCAGCAAAACCCTGTCCTGCCAAGTAAGTACAACAATTAAAAAAGAAATAAAATTGAAGAAGAGAAGTTTTACTTAATTCACCTCTTAGATCCCTGTTGAAATCATGAAGCCTACGAATTTCTCCTTCCAGCTTGTTTCTCATGGCCTTTTCCAGGGCATCCCGCTTAGAGGAGGATTTCTCCAGGTTTTTGTATGCCTCTGAAACCTGTTGTATTTCTGTTTCCAGCTGCAGTGGAAGTGAAAACAAGTACTTACTATTTTATCACTAACAAACCTTTTCATTCAGTCTCAGAAAGTACATCACCTTTTCTCAAGTTTTCGTTATTGAAAGAAACCTACACCTATACATTAGGTAAAACAACACTGTCTCAGGTTTGTGATGGATCCCTCTGTATAAAGAATACCAATGGCTGAAATGAAGATTCCAGACTCTAGCTCTGTTTCCCCAGTACAATCAGAGCACAGGTATGGCAAATCAAAGAAGTGCAGATGCATCTATTTTTTTAATAAGACTGGGGCAGTTTGGCACTACTGTTAGTTTGGGCAAAAAGCACTTACATAATGCGATATCATGTTGAGTAAGTAAAATAAAACAAGAATGGCAGACAAAACTAGTGGTAGATCTTGCATCACTGATGAACGCTGCAGATCTATAATTGTTATGGTCCAAAATTTACAATAAAACCTCCTGACGTTCTGTGTTTACACTTCTCAATTTTGTTGTGCTTTTAAATACTCAACTTACTAAAAGGGGGAAGGAAAACATTTGCAGTAAAATATGTTTCATCCTTCCTCCCAGCCTCCAGTGTAAAGCTTCTCTGATCACCCAGAGCAGGAGATTCACTTCTAACTCTCTTCACCAGGCATAGTTTTGCATTGCTATGGAAGGATGGATCCACGTAACAGCAAACCGCATGAGCACTGTCTACAGCAAGGGATCAACAGGGGGGTGGAGGGAAGTTCATTTTTATCCTTCTTTCATTATCAGGAAGCTGTCAAACATTTATCTAAGGCATTTCCTGGCTAGGAACCTTCCAAAAAAAATACAACAAAATGAATGTATGTCCCTGGAAAGAGGTAACATAGGGAGTAAATGAGTGTGGAAAGCCACACTGGCCACCTGAACTCAAACAAGTGTTCTAACACATTTTTATGGCCCTGGAGACTACTCAGTGCAAAGAGCACAGCAAGGCTAACAAAGTCCTAAATTGCAAGTAGCATCCGACTTTTCACAGCTGCAAGGCAAAAGCAAAGCTGACCTGCTGCACAGTTTTAAACCACTGGTCATCACAAAGTTATTTCTATGAGGCTCCAATGAAAATACCTCTAAACACGCACATTAACAATGGGTCTCACTGGGATTTAAAAAAAAAAAATGTTTTAGCATTTTAGTTTTTTAACTTGTTTTGTAAAGCCCAAGGTGGCAAACAGCTCCATCTAAAACAAGATACTGAGTTTTCATGGCAATTGTGTGGTATTAAGGGAGTGACAGAAGCAGCGTTAGTTTCAGTCCTGCACTCCAAATGTCTTCCATGCAGCCACAGCTGTACTTCTGCACACTGTCCTGCCAACCAGCATCGTAGCAATGTCCCCTGTTGCCTCCTTGAGAGGCTATGGTCTCATGTCATTCCAAACAGGCCCTTCTTGCAGTCTCTAAAGTCTTTCAGACTGATGGGAAAATGAAGCCTGCTGCTATCCTGGACATAGGAACACCAGCTTCAATTTCACCAAGCAAGCCCAGCAGTCAGCCTCTTCAAGACAGCTGATGAGGGTGTGCTTTTGAGCATGGTCAATTAGCTGTTAGAATAAAACTGAAGGCTTTGATTCTATCTTCTGACAAAGTTAGGCTGCTGCCCAAAGGGACACAATACAGACTAATCAATCTGCATATAAAAGACTCTAAAGTAGATAATCAATCCCCTAAGCAAGGAATGTAATAGTTGCTGATTAGATGATTCAATTATGGATGACACTAGACACAGGAGTGCCTGATATTGAAAAACACCCACCTTCTGCAGCCGGGCTACCTTCTCATAACACCCATCCAGCTCCTGTCGTAGAGACCGGTTCTCTTCTGACAGGATTTCCACCATCTGCTGGGCCCTGGAAACGATGGCAAAAGGATCTACTTGCATCTGCTGGTATGGGGAAGGTATCTGCTGAGCCCGGGACATTACTGAATAGGAATCGCCTTGCTGCTGCTGCGGGCCTAGGAAGGGCTGGCATAGTCGGTACAAATCTCCCTGGTGGACTTGGTTTGACAAGAATGGCTGCTGGGTCCGTGGCAGAATGCCAGGATCTCCCTGGCTTGGAGTCAGAGGTTGCTGATGCTGGGAAGGGGACAGCCTGGATGGTGGCGGAGACTGAAGCAAAGTCAAAGATCCCAAGGACGTCAAGGAAGAAGTAGGGCTGTGGTGGTGAGGTGGTCTCTGTTGTAACTGCAGCTGCACATCTGGGTTCTGCCTGGAAAACAGAGAGCAGAAGTTCTGTCAAAGTCATGCAGAAGATGGTGCACAAACCCAGCGACAAGGTGTGGGATGACCTGTGGAGCTCCTATGCACAGGTCTTCCCACACATAAACTCATATGTGAGGCTTTCCTCATTTTTATAAGTTTGCTTTAAAAAATGCTTCAAAATCAAATAATTACCAGAAAATATATTCTAAGTGCACACAGGTCTTTCCTCTTGAGTGTATTTTGTACAGAAACACTAAGAGAAACTCCATCAACAATTGCTGAACAAAATCATTTTATAAATTCTCTCCACACTTTGTGGATAGAACAGCTAACCTGAGAACTGTTAGGAACGGGCTCTTTTGTTCTGTCCTGAAACATGCCATCTCTCATGGAGAACACCGTGAATTTTCTTTTGCAGTTCAGGATACAGAGCGCTCTGTTAGTATGCCAGAACCACTGATTTGAGTTTTCCGAAATACCGACCAACAAGCTGTAGCCTGGTCAAACAACAGTTAAAGGATCTGAAAATCAACCTAAGAGTCAGAAGCAGCCTTTTGATGCAGAACCACCTTCAGATATATGCAGTAGGATCTTTAGTGCTCCTAATGCTAACCTGTAGGATATCAAAGACAGATCCAGCAATCTGTACCATGCTTCAGCCTATCACAGAACTAACTCCAATCTACATCAGCTCACATTTCCCAGTCACTGGAGATCCCCAGCTCAACTTCTGCTTTATTAGCCAAGTAAAAAAATCTCTCTTAGAAGATTTTGTAGATTTATTGTGCTTGGATGACTTCAGGAGGCAGGTTTGGCTTCCTCCTCCAAAGACATTCAACCTTTAACTTCTCTGGATGTTCTTTATTCTAACAGTTGAAGTCACTCCCTCTCCATGCTGCAGCCACTCTCTTCTTAAGCACAGACCTCAGCCTGGTGCAGACCCAGGCTGGCAGTTCAACGTGTTCTGAAACACTCCTGCTCTTCTGATAAAATTTCCCACCCTTCGGGATGCAGTTCAACCCTGCAGCTGGAGAAGCACATACTGTTGTTCCACCTAGCCATAGCTGCCACAGAACACCCCCGTGGGTTGTCTGTGTTCACGGGAACAACCCTACGCGCTTGCTCTGCTGGGTGCAGCCCACAGCATTGCTCCTCCACCACACCAGCAGCGTTAGTGGCACCTCAACTGACAACAGCAAGCATGAAGCTGTACCGGGAACTAAAGGGTTACACAACGGGCTTCTCAATGTGCAAACACTCATCCTTCCTGTTCTCTGCAGAAAGAACGCATCAACTCGCATCAACTCTTCATACCCGTCCAAAGAGGAAACATCTGCATTACTCACATCTGGCTGGCAGCGCATGTAGGAGTTCATACATTCTCAGCCCAGCGCAGGGTTCACTGTTTCGTACATCTTATGTCTCATTTTCCCTGCTTTCCAGCAGAGAAGGTGCACAGAAACCTCCAAGCTGATGCTCCAATTCTTTAACAGGGAAACAAATCTAGCCTTTGTCACTTAGGGTAAAACAAATAATTACTGCTCTAGTTACTGTTTCTCTCTTTCTCACACTCAGGTGACTCTGGTCCCTGTCAGCAACACGATTTCAGGAGCTGTATTTTCCCAGAAACGATCACATGCTGCATGAGGATCTCAGGGGTCACGCAGAAGAGAGATGTGCAATTAATATCCTCAGGAATGTTCAGTTTAGTAGCAGCAATTCGGTTCCTCTCCTCCTGGGAAATCAGCTCTACTTATCACTGCATGTACTTCATTACCTTTATTGGCCAGTTCTCATAGTGAAGAATGAGGCAAAACTGTCCCATGCCATGCTCAAGGTCACTTGGTTTCTCTCAGGTAGTTTCCAGCTCCTTTCTTAGCTCACCTAGTCATGTGCAGAGTTGAAAATTTCCATCTTCAGAAACCACTTGTCTCCTTGAGCCTGTTCTTTACCTGACATCATGCACCCCTGTTTTGATGTTACAGTCAATTAGGGAATAACCTTGCTGCGTGACATTGAAGCTATGATGACTTACAGAGGTTAGATCAAAACAAAAATGTTGCCAGTCTGCCTCATGGATGCAAAAAAACACCTTTTCCTACAAAATACTCCCTTCCAGTCTGACAACAACCCGAAGCCGTTCCTCAGAGAGGCTGGCTCTGCTGATCGCAATGTGTTAATATTACAAGCCTAATGAGGACTATTTAGATGCCAACGTTATCAGTTTGAGCGATCTGACTAAAAGCATCTCGTTATTCTGCCATCAGAGACACATGGGCAGAAACTTGCCATTTCCACAGGACCCGAGCACTAATGAAAGGAACACAAAGATGGCCAAAGAAAAACAACAGCAGCGGCTAAACTCTGAAGGGACACTCTTTGTACTGACATGACCGGTAATGACATTTTTTTTAAACCCATTATAAAGAACAGCTCTAGGAAATCATGGCTGAGTATTTCTAAACAAGATACATTTCCAAGATTTCCAGCATCTTGGCACTCGCATCCAAAGCCTCTTGCATCTTGAAATTATACCAACCTCGTGGGTTCAAGCTGCAACATGAGAGCCGGGAGCCTCTAGTTCTGCTGCATTACCAACAGCATTAGAGCTTCCAAAATGTCACAAATGCGTTTATATTCCCAGCAAAACGAGATAACACAACTGGGGTAATACATCCAGCCTTAAAAAAAAAAAATCCTAGTAACCTCACAGTGACAACTACACCCTTTAAAATGCCCACCTGTACATACACGTTCAAACAACATTTTAGCATCCCCACTACTTTCAAGTTTTGTCTCATAAAGGACTTACACATATTTTGTGGGTTCAAAATGCCTGGCTCTAAGATCCCTCAGATTAACATGAGAATTGCAGAATTTATTTCTCTGGTAAACCAATTTTGGACTGAGAGATTCAGAAAGGTAAATGAACAACTGGACTTCTCAGGATTTTTAAGCCAGACTGCAAAATTTTAAGGTACAAACCACTGCTGGGGGTCACCAAACAGAATTGCCGATAGAATGGTAGTAGAAACTTTCCTCCATGAGAGAATCAGTCCTCGGGCAACACTGCAGTAATAATTAAAATCATATCCAAACTAAACACTTCATGCAAAAATGCAGAAAGACTCTCAAAATACATGGAAAATAAAATTATGCAATCTCCTTCCATTTCCCTCAGTGTCACAAAGACCTGAAAAACCGCAAATGCAGGAAAACAACTCAGGGTAATGATTCCTGCAAGTGTTTAAGTCTGAAAGCATAACTTTAAGGGTCACTTCATTCTGAAGACTGTACCACGCAAGAATCTCTGCTTCCCTTCCAGTCCCTGGCGCGTATCAGAGAAACACACCACATGGGCCAAGTACAAACCTGGATTTATGGTTCTGCAACTACAAGGGTCACATCAGCTTTGAAGTCACGAAGACAGAGATATGGCATGAGGGCAGCTCTGCAAGCAAACCTACCACCAGGAGCCCCGAGGCTGCCAGGACTGCAAACATCAAGTCACACAGAAGATCCGCAGGCAGAGCAACAAAGTGGGGAAGGGCAGAAGAATGAAGAGATCAGAAAAGGTCTCTGGCTCGTTAAAATTTTTTCTGCCTTCCCAGCTTCTCCAGCCTGTTTCATGTCCAAGAAGCTATAGCTCCCCTCTCTTCCACAGCCCTCCTGCACAAACCGGGAAACGCTGGCGGCAGGAGGGAGCAGACTCCACTTGATTAGACAGCTGAAATCAAACCAACACATTTTTGTTCTGCTTCCTAGTCATACCTGATTATCCCCTACTTTGATGCTGCTCAGGGGAACACAGTGCACAGAAGCGATTTACTAATTATGGGACAAATTCTGCAGACCTCCTTCTCAGAAAGTTTCTGTGAAGTCAATGGGATTAATCACCACAGCAGGAGCTCAGTCATTTGGGCTTCGAACAGAGGATGGTGCTTGAATGAGAGAGACAGCAAGCTTCCTCTGCACCCAAAACCACACCAACATGAGCCCCTTCTCCCCCATCTCTCACTGTTCGGCCACAAGAGACCTTGCAACCCCACAGGACACTGAGCCCAAGGCACCCGTCTTCTCCTCTTAGATCTGAAGGTTTGTTTTCATCACCAGTGTTAAAGTGAAGTTGAGATGTTAAGGACAGAACAGGATTTTGGAGCTCCACATGAAGCCAGCCCTCTTCTGAACTTTCTCTAAAATTTCCAAATAACAGCACAGATGCCTCTGGCATGCCCAGTATTTACATTAAATCAACATCATTATGAATATATACGTGTTCCCAAACTTACACCGCCCAAGAGCAGGTGAGGCAAACTGTTTGCAGACTGGTTGAAACTTACCACACAGCCCATTCCTTTCCCAGACTGGGGAGGGTGAAGCATGAGAATGCTGTGAATTCCCCAATGTTTATCTTGCTCAACGAGTTTTATTTAACCGCATCGTTAGGTCACCCTCAAATTCCCCCGAACAATGAGGGGAAAAACCCGCAGAAAAGGGTGTGGCTTCACAAGCAGAAAGAAGGGGCTTTGTTTCCTTGACGCACGGTTCAAAAAATGCACACATTTACCAATCCATAGTAATCCCGATAAACACAGAGCAGGAAAACTGGCATCTCAGAAAATACTTTATCATTCCAGCAAGGTTGCAAAGACACTCGTTAGCACTGCCTGGTGCGAGGCAAACGAACTCCTGCAAGTTGTATGCCTTTAAAATCCTCACACCATTACCCAGCTGCACCTTTACTAACACAGAAGGTTACTTGTCTAAATGACAGTTTCTCTTAAAGTGTGTGGGAGAGGGAGGGGAATAGAGGACTCGCTCCCTTCCTTTGCTACGCTGCTCTGTAATTTATGGATTAGTCTTGCAATTGTTCTACTGCTTCAGCATTTGCTTGCAAAGGAAACCTCTTCTCTGTGCAGCTATTTAGGTTAAAAAGTAACCTCATTAGATTCCCAATGCTTTGAAGACAAATTTCAGTTGCTTCCCCTACTGGAAACCTTGCCAGCTGAACCTTTCTCCTCCCCCCTCCTTCCCTCCCCCATGTTCTTTCAAAGCAGCCAGGATCCATCCAATACAGACAAAAATCACCCTGTCTAGAGGAGCTGACTGTTGGCGTGTTTTCAAATACCTCTCCCTTAAACAGCAAGCAGGCTACGTCTCAGATCCACTATATATAATATTACGAGTATTTCTGATGCAGCATAACCATGAAGGATCTGTTTCCCTTTCCTGTGTGCACAGAGATTTGAGGCCTTTGAATTTTCAAAAACATTTGCAACGAGCTTCTACAATCATTACCCCTCCTAAACCCTTTACTTCCCCTTTTCCTGGCCTCTTTATTATTTATTTAGCCAGATCAAAGGGCCTTTTCATCAGGCTTGTATGCTGCTGAAGTCATTTCAGATCACAAACAATGGTGGACAAACTCTGAAAATAGCTCCCCATAGGACTAGGAAGGTTCTGAGCAGATTCAAATTCCCCAAAGCTGAGACTCTGTTCCCAAATACAGACGGGTTTCTTCTTCACGCTCCCCTCAAAACACAACATGATATGTGCAAGTGCAGAGAGTAGCAACACCCTCCTGTTGCTCCTTTGTATTAACCTTTTAGCGTCAAAATGAGTCCAAAATCATTACACCAAATCCCACCTGGTCTTGGGCAGAGATGAGGTGGTAAGGAAACAGGTAAAGTAAAGCCGTATTTTCAGCCAACCTGAATAAAACTTCATCTTCACCCACATGGACATCAGTGTTTGGCTCTAGCCAAATCCAGCTCCTTATCTAGAGGAAACCAGAACAGGCTGAGATTTGAAATGATGCAAAGAAAATCAGCAAAAGCTAAACAAGGAAGCCTGGGATGAGGCACAAAGCACGCTCCGTTTTCCACTCCTACGCATTGGTCCACTGAAAATAAGATTTGAACAACTCTAAAGGAAGCTCAGGTGATTTTTGTTACCTGCACCATTATCGCTTTCATTCACTTTTTCCTTTCCTATGAAGCATTTAGATGCAGTTTAAACCTAAAAAAAAAAAAATCTTTTGCCTGGGCAAATGTAATTAAAGAAGAGCTTAAATCTTGCAATAAGTAACTGCAAGTTTCTACAATGAATCACAGCATAACTTTGGCTTTTGTAACAAAACTTTTTGTGAGGCTTTGGAACCTCAGCATTAAACTTCCCCATGACATAAAATCAAGCTGGCTCGTTGTGCAGTTGTTTTTTTTTTTTTAATATGTGGGGTTTTTTTTTAAAAGAGTCAGGCCTCTCTAGGTAAGCTACTGGAACAGGTCACAGTCCCTCCAGAAGCACTCAGCAGCTGAACACAGTATGTCATCTCACATAATAAAGATGGGATCTCTGCTGAAAGAAAACCTGCCTCTGGAGTGAGGGCAAAGGACAGAGTTTTATACCGTCTTTCCTTATGTGGCTGTCACGGAGTTTGTTTTAAGATCTTGCTTACCTGACTGACCCATACTCAGGGGGATGTTGATACCTCATCATAGGCCCATCAGATCGTCCCTGCTGGCTCATGCGATGATCACTATAGAAATGTCCCGAGTCCTGAGGTTTGCAGTTCATAGACGGGGTGGACACATTTTTGTAAGGATACTCTGGAGGAGGACCCCGCTGCTCCATTCCTTTCATGTTGGGCTGGGAAGGGGGCTGCACCGAGTTCTTGTAGAACTCATTTGAGCCAGAATTTTTATAAGGGTCGCTGGACTGCTGAGGAGAAAGTGGAGAGAGAGGTGAGAGCGGCGCGCTCGTGACAGGCGCATGGGCCTTGACACCGCTGGTGGCCAAGGACAGCTGCATCAGCCTCTCGCTCAAGGAGCGGACGTGCCCTTGCTTGAGGTCCTTAAGTCCTTCATCCTGGTGGACCTTCCCTGGGCTCACCCGCTGAACAGTGGGTCGCCCTTCAGTCCTCATTTTTTGGTTGGTGACCCCCGTTACATAAAACGCTGCCCCGACACTAGCATGCGGCTGGCCCCTGAAATACTGTGACTGGACTTTGGCTTCCTCGTAGGTCGGGAGATCCTCGCTGTTCTGAAGTCGTGGGGAGAGCTGCTTCTCCATGATGCTGTTGTCCACCTGTATCTCCTGGCCCTGGGGCTCCTGACGGGCAGCATGAGTCACAAGCTGGTGGTCCTGGGAGCTCAGCCCTTCGTTCTGAGATGCTGGACTCCCAGTGCTGTTGAAAGGGGGGGCATTTCCTGTGGCTTGCTGGTGTAAGGCAAGAAGGTTACGGTTGTCATTTGGGTTTCCGTATCTGAGCTGCTCCTGCAGCAGGCGCTGTAAAACTGTCGTAGCTGCTTGCTCTTCTGAATTCCTCATCTCAAACTGTGGTGTCTTTTGGGTGGAATGTAAAAGCTGCCCTTGACCTAAGGAAAGGAGACACGGTTATTAGCGCCTGAGTGGATCAAGCAAGAGACATTTAAGAGCAATGGCTTGAAATACAGAAAAAAAGCAGGTTAGATTACCAAAGGTTCCCATAACAATGGGGGTCATCACGGCCCTTGACCTAAGAAGGACTTGCATGCCAGGGGGCAAAAGGTGATGAAAGGTGACTTGCAAATTTATAGGAATATCAATCGACTGCAAGCTGTAGGGATGCATGCTGAATACCTCAGACAGAAAGGCTGCTTTCAGGCAGAGAGGAGACCTATAATTCACAGGATGATGGTAAAAATGCCTAAGACCTGTTTGCTTTACACTTAGGGTGACCAACAGTAAAATATTATTTCCCATATTTGCAGGCAGACAAGGATTAAAGGGTGAAATCAGCAATTTGTCAGTTTTAAGAAAAAAAACCAGAAGACAGGCCCATTGAGATAGTATACGGTTCAAAAGGAAGTAAAGAAATCTCTTAGCTTTGATCGTTTAAAGCAATTAATGAATACCTCGTTAGCCAGCAGGTTTTCAGAGTTATGAAATACCCAGAGTGAGATCAGCATCTAGTCTCCCTGCTGCAGAAAAAACTATGCACTGGTGCAAGTGAGGACTCTGTAACTTCCTGCTATACAAAGGCAACCAAATCCTCACACATGTAAACATCGTCAGCTGAATGCATGCAAATGCAACAGGAGGAAAAAGAGTTGTCTGATCTAAGGAACAGAAAAAGACCTCTGAGTGGCAGGAAAAAACACTGTGTGCCAGGAGGAGAAACACAAAGAGCCAATGTCAAGCACATCCTAAGTACAGATTAAGCCAGTGACCAACAGCAATCACACTTCGCTCAGTCTCCCCGTGGAGTCAGGAATTTGTCATGGAAACTCAAGCCCGTTGGCCTTGCGCGAGTTGAAGTATCCAAAATTAATGATACCTTTGAGACATTTAACTAAAAGCAGAGCTACTTTTGAGCTAGAACAGTTCAGAACAGAGAGTATGCTCGACTTGTTGGCTAAGCTGTGGCTCTGCCCTGACAGCAGAACCCATGTTGGTATGCTAGAACTTTATTTTGACCCCTTTTTTCTGCATAACATTGTCCCTTAGCAAAAGGTAACTTGCTCCCAACAGCTTGTTGTGTGGCAGAAGCAGGGATAGCCTGCAGGAGTCAGGAGACCTGAAGGGTCTGCTTTGTTCTGTGCCTCCACAACCACCCAGCTCCCTCCCCAAGGCCAGCCTGCTGCAGGAATCTACCCCTGAAACACAGGGCCTCAGCACATCAGGCAGGCAGAACCCTCCTGCAAACATTAACGAAGAGAATGGTAAAATCCACTTCATTCCAGGATACCTCATCAAACTAGGAATTGAGGCCCTGTTAAATGATTTGGAACATGATTCTTCTGAAATCCTGTTTGAAGGGGCACATACCTATTTCCTTCACTTTGACTTCCTGGGTAAGGAGGAGCAGTTCTGCCACATGGAGGGGACACACAGCCTTCCTCCCGCAAGTCCAAAATCTCCACTCAGAGATGGCTTCAGTCTCCTCTTCAGTAGGCCAGATCACTTGATACTCTCCTCGCTTCCAAAATAATTCTGAGGAAAGCATTGAAAACATCATTTTAATCAGCAGATGAGACCCTAGAAATAATAAACCTTGGCCCATATTTCAGATTTTTCTTTTGTAGCTTCTTGTGTTCTCCCAGAGCCCAACAATTTTGATCCCTTTAGGATGAATGAACCCCCCTGTCCGTAGCAATCTACTCCAGCTGCTGCTTTAATCATGACAATTTCTGCTCCAAGATTAAATGTTGCCAAGTAATGCTCTGTCCCATCTGTGCCTCCAAGTGAAACAGTGACTAAAACCCGCTAATTCTTTAACTCCATTGTTTTATTTTTTGCTAAGAATGAAAGCTGCAGCACAGATGATGATACCCTGTGCTTATGGCTCCTTTTCCAGGGGTGCTTTATATTTCAAACTATATCAGCAGAAATCCTTTGACGAAAGGTGATATGGTTAAATCCTTTCTAAACTTCAACAAATTATGCCTCAGAAATGACTGTGAGAATGATCAGTATATGAGTATTACCTTTATTTTACAGACTGGGAAAGCAAGGGGAAGAAAAGGACACTGACCAAGTATATGCCAGAAATACATTGCAGAGCACAGCTCTAATTCCCAAAACATTCTTTAATTACATTACTTTTCCCTTTCAGAATATAAAGCACTAAATAAACTTTAACCATTGAGGGGAGAATCAGGAGAACATAGAAAAATGTGTATTTAGGTGTGTTATTCAAGAAGCAGTTAAATCTACTACTGAAGGTGTCCTGAAGAAAAAGGCAAATGATGCAAAAGAAGTGGAACATACTTGTGCACTCGGTGTGCTTATCCTTTAAGGGCAGGCAATTAAAACAGAACTAGTGAAATTTAAAAAATTCATTGAGATGTACAATTTAACTTCATTTCCTGGAACGTTTGCAAAAAATAAAGTGAACATACGTAGTGAAGGAATGCAGACGTGGATACTTCTGTCTCTGTCTTATTATGGCACACATCCACACCCAACAAAAATTATCTCAGATCTGCAAGTTAAATACTTGAGGTGTCAACAGCAATTTCAAGGCACATGAACAATATCTAACTAGGGAACAAGGCTGACTTGTGTGGCATGGTACTTCAAGATGGTGGTTGAAAAAAAAAAAACATCTAATGTCAAATTCTTGACTGGTGACTTAGCTCGAGAGGGATATATTGAAAACAGCTGCCAGCAAATATGCAGTAAAGAACCTTTAAACCAGGCATTAAGATAGCAGATAACTACAGCCATTTCTAGCCTCTTCTCCCAGCGTTGCACAACAGAAGTTAAGGATTCCTTGTCTGCCTCATACCAGTATCATCACTGACTCTTCTTTTTCTTTTTTTAATTTTTTTTTTAAAACCAAGTTGCCCTAAGCAACCCTTTTTATTAGAGCATAAAAAGGCTTTTATTATGCAATACGATGCTGCCTTTCCACCCAAAGATTTCTTTTGTCTCAACTGGAAAAATCTGGGGGGGGGAAGGGTGGTGTTTATTTTTTTAATACAAAGATACAACCCAGCTTGAGATTCCATCTCTCTGCCTTAAAGATTTTCTCAACAGACAAATTCAATCTGTGCGTGTTTAACTCCTTCAGATGTTCAAGGAAGCGATTCTGTATGCAACCATTTCACACAGTTTCCCCTCACAGCAATACAAGCTTATTCTGCTGGTTGATGAAGGGAGGGTACGGTGCACACCAAAAGTATTTGCTGGGACCAATTACTACTAATTTCAGTGTTGATGCAAACCAGGAATCAGCCTGGAAATTTAAAAAAAAAAAAAAAAAGGTAGACTGAGATGCAATATGAAGATATTCTGGCCAACAAATCCACTTTCTTTAAATACCAACTGTAGCATTAAGCCTATTTTTTCCAGTTTTATCCCATTACTTGTAATTAACAAAGAAAATCTTGTGCAATTAACTTGGGTGGCAGCATTCCTGGAATCTGCTTTCTGAGCGAGCTGGAAAGTCATGGCAGAACCAGCCAGTTAACTTTTTTATGTAATGAAACACAAAAGTGACCAGTACAATCGGTACTGAAGCCCATGTGTTATTCATTTGGACTTCAAATTCTCTTTGTGTTAGGCTCTTCCAGCAATTTCAGTTTTCAGTGTGCCAAAGTTGGAAATTAGTGAGGTGCACTGGAAAAGTTGTTATGATAGAGCTGGAAGGAAATTGGAATAGGTTCCGTAAACACTTTAAACAGACACATTTGGGGCTAAATAGCCTAAATCTATTAGAATGGATAGGGCTGAATTCAGACTACCAACAACTCTGCAAAACTGTACTGGCTTATGGATTGGATGCTGTGCTCTCCTTAACCACAAAGCCTAGAACCACCTTGCTTTTCAAGTGGAAAATTCAGTTTTAGATCTATTCTGCTCCAAGGAACCACTGTGAGGTAGATTTCCCAGGCTGAACCGATTTTGCAGTTTGTCCTTGAGCATTGTAGCTCTATCATCTTACTATTTTATTCTAACTTCTAGTCTGAAATTGTTCATGGTAACTTTACATCTGTATGTTCTTGAGCGAAACATCAGAGCCTAGAACTGGCAGAACTAACAGGAATTGCAAATTGTGTTGCATGTAACCATGCTGAGATCAAGAAAGGACATAAAAGAGGAGATAGTGTTGATACTATTTGAGGAAGAAAAGACCCGTGTTTGCAGGGCATTGTGTAAAAACTCAGTAGCTGAGGCTTCTGTCTTAAACATCATGTAATTATGTACAGGAACCTTGCCAGTCCCTCGTGAGGAAGAAAGAATAATGAAGAATTTAAAATGATAATACTGCCAGGCTGTAAGGAACCAAGGCAGAGCATTTCTGTACAGCATGCAAATATTTTTCAGCATTATAAAAATAAACAAGCTTAGACAAGTGAGCTACTCACCACTGTTTGATGACTGGCTATAATGCTAGAGCTCAATTAACCTGCATGGAGCAATAATAACCTCACAAGCGAAGAGAAGCATCTTTCTTAGCTTGTGAAATGGAGAGGAATGCAAGAGTCCCTGTGAGGGCAGCCTGTACATACTTGCCCAGAACTACTGCTTAGCCAAGAAGCTAATTAGCTTACGCATCAGGTGGGATGGGAACAGGTTCACTACCTCAAAACGGCTGGAGTACAGTTAAACACTTTCAGTTTTACTACTAAATTTTGTGTCACGCATGCACAAAACAATCCAGTGACAGTGACAGACTTCAAATTCAAGCGGTAAATTTTGCTAAGTAATTCTGGGTTTTTCTTAAAAGATGTGCATGTGATACTGGTTATCCTGGTTGGCAACAGGTGATGGGATGCTATCAGTGAGATGAAGACTTAGGTTGGTTTTGTAGGTGCAGAGTTATCGTCAGACTCACCTGCACTCTGTAATAGAGGAGGGAACACAAAACAGAGATAGCCCAGAAAGGACCAGCTGTGAAGTCCCCAGGCAATCGCAGAGACCAGCTCCCATGCTGAGTCACTCACTGTTTAACAGAAATATGCCTTTGCTACACAGCCTACACAAAACCCAGCAGGCTGATTGCCTGCTCCTGCAAAATTCGCTTAACACGAGTGCCTAAAAGACCACTGGAAACACAGCTATTTTGTGCACACACTCACTTTGAAGTGGCTAGGAGCACCAGACTCGCAAGGGCGAGGTCCAAAATTATGTAATGAATAGTGCAGGTTATCACTGAATGCTCTGCATTTCATTTCAGCCCTAGCCAGGGAGGAAGAAGGGAGAGATTATCCATTAGGACAGTCCTTAAGAAAAAATGTTCCCGACGTCTTGGCGCTAACACCCAAACCTGCAAGACGGCACACAACAAATCCCAGAGCTGTGACAGTGTTTTAGCACCTGCTCCTAACCAAAAAGTGGATTTCAGCCTCCAACCATAATCACTTCGCCAGCTTTCGTTCAACCATCCCGTCCCTGCTTGCCTGGATCTGCTGACGGCGGCTCAGGTGATCTCGGAGGGTGGCACCGAGCAGGTGCATGGAGCAGTGCCAACATTACTCATCTTCATACCAGAAGGACAGAGTCACTGGGCAAACAAGAAAAACTTCCTTCTTTTAACCAAAAACAAGAACAATGTCACCCGGAGGGGTGCAAATAATACGCATACCCATTAGATTAGATCACCAGGCGATTACAGTGAGGCCACCAGAACACTGGAAGACTGATCTCGGTTCTAAGAACTCTCCAGGAACCAAGTCCACCTTCAGCAAGGACTAGACTGCCTCACCGAGACCCACCAACCTTTCTCCTCAAATGCTCATGGTATTGGGCACAGAACAGTACAAGAAAGCCTGGCAGGCCTAAAGAAAAAGCAGCAAGTCACTTGGTCTAAGACAAATAAGCCAAGGTGACAACCTAGGAAGACCCCCTCTAAATAACATCTCTAAGGAAAAAAACTGCAAAGACCTTACTTGACCTTTGAATTACTGCTCCCTCACTATAAAGTATCCATTTCTTCACAGAGAAGAACCTACAATCTTCACCAACATAATTTAGGTTTTGTATTACAAAGGGGAAAAAAAAAGAGAAGAATAAACACTTACAGAACCTGGCATAAATAGGAACGCTTCACAGCTTTTAAACGTTTTGATAACAGTGCTATGGAATTTCAAGCTCCTTCATAGAATTTCAAAAGTCAGAGGGGCAGGAAGATTTATCCTGAATATACCGGTCTAATAGCAAAACCAGTCTAGGCGTGTTCATCAGCTGTTTTTATTGGGAATATTTCTACATGAATACATCACACCATGCAGTTACTTAAACTGTTAGGCAGCACAAGCAAGCGCTACTCACACATCTGCAGAGAGCCAACCCTTTAGAGGCACGTACTGCAGTTTCTGCACATTTAATGAAACACTAATTCCAGCACAGGGAACGCGAGTTCTGCTACTAAACTCATAAATGCCAAGATCTCACCTTTTAGATGTCTTCTTGATAAAACCAAATCAAGCTTACACAGGTTTAGTCACACTGGGTCTCACTTCAGAGGACTGCCACCCAGCA